CCCCCCCCCCCCCACCCCGCTCACCAGCATCCCGCTTGCCCATGAGGCCGAAGAACTGCTGGGGCCGGGGTCTCCGGGCCATCCTCTGCAGGAAATGCTCCAGGGGCAGTGGCAGCTCCTCCTGGGGGGTGACAGCGCCGGTGCTCAGCCAGGACCCCCCCAAACACACACACACAGAAGCTGGGCATCGCCCGGCACCGACCCACCCGCCACACATTCCCCCCACCCCCGGTTTGTGGGGTCCCGCACCCCCCGCGGGCGGAGCCGCAGCCGCCGGGACTCACCTTCCCCTGGTCGCCGTCGGACCAGTCGGACCAGTAGCTGAGGTCGTCTGGGGGGCCCATCTCCTCGGCCAGCGCCTGCGCCGAGGCCAGGAGGAGCACGGCGAGTGCCAGCGGGAGTCTCATCGCCGCCTCGACGTCCTGCGGGGGGGGGTCGGGGTGTAAGGGGGGTGCAGAGGGTGAAGCAACAGCACCCGAGCCCCGGAGGACCTTCCCCCCCCCCCAGCCTTGCACACTCACAGCCCTGTGCACACCTGGGTGCACACTCCCAGGCACACACACACCCACTTACACCCCCCCGACAGCTACATACACCGCGGGATATAGATTATAGAATCATAGAAGGGTTTGGGTTGGAAGGGACCTTAAAGATCATGGAGTTCCAACCCCCCTGCCACGGTCTATACGCTCGCCCCACACCTATAGACTCATACACAGCTGGTACACACCAGCACACAGACAGACACACACACCCAGAGGTACCCTCCGTGCACATACATACAGAATTACATACATATAGGTACCCTCATGCGTAGATATACATCCAGATATTCACACTTTCCCATATATATACATCCAGCAAGATACACACACACACACACACCCCCCTCCAGGTACGTACACATCGAGTTAGAAACTCACCCAAACAGCTACACGTCTGAGATGCACACATTTAGGGAGAGATACAGGTGTCCACACACACAGCCACACACATGTCTATAGGTACACGCGTGTGTCTATAGGTACACATGCATCTCTATAGGTACACATGCATGTCTGTAGGTACATGCGCAGGTCTATAGGGACACACGCAGGTCTATAGGGACACACGCACCCCTTCACACATCCAGAGGCACACACGGGGACAGGCACACAAGCACCCTCGCACGTAGAGGGACACACGCACGGATACCCCCCCGGATGGAAGGAGGGACAGACGGACGGACAGAGGGCTGAAACGGGCTGAAAGGCCGGAGGGACGGACGGACGGACAGAGGGACACGCACCGTCTGCAGCGGGGGGGCGGGCGGGCGCTGCTCTCCCTGCGCATTGGCCGTCGGCGGGAGCGCTCCCCACTTTATATACCCGCAGACGGGGAGGGCCGGAGCAAATACCCCCCCCCCCCCATCTCCCCACATGCATATAGAGGGACAAACAGAAGGACAGACGCACACAGCCTCACAAACATACGGACGGACGGACGGAGGGACGGACGGACGGACAGCAGCCCTGCGGCGATGCGGATTTAAGGGTATTCCACCCCCCCGCACCGAGGGGAGAGCCGGGAGGGGGGGACACGGGGGACAGGGTGAGGGGGCACCGGTGGGCACCGTCCTGGAGACCTTCCCCGGGTCTGCCCTCCCGCTGCTGAGCCTGGGGGGGAGCAGAAGTGAGGGGTGCGGGGAGATGAAGGAGGAGCTCTCCCGGGGGGGTGCAGCGTTTGGGGACCCAGACACCTCGGGTGGGTGCAGGAGGGGGGCACAGCTGGGCTGGTGGCTCTGATGGGGCAAATGCCCTCCCTGGAAATGAGCCAGTCTCTCCAGCAGCATCTCTCTGCCTTCCTCCTTCCCCTTTGCCATCACTGCTGGGATCTGGCTCGGGTAACTGTGGAGGTTGCCTTCTGTTTCACAGTTGTTCCATCTTCGTTTCTCCAAGGGTCAGTTGTGCAGGAGGCTTCCCATTAACCTTGGTGGCCCCTCAGCACCCTGTTGTCACCGTGTGTGGTACCACAGCCCACCTGCAGAGTTGAGCAGGAGCTGATGGCATTTCTGTTTGAGAAAGAAGGGAATGCTCAGGAGCTGGACTTGTTTGAGAAAGAAGGGAGTGCTCAGGAGCTGGACCCAGCTCCCTGGTACCACCCCTCTCCTTGCTCCAGGATGCTGCCATGAAGGTGGCCTTGCTGAGAGTGGTAGAACTTCTCTCCACCAACCAGTTGTTGGCATAAAAATGTGGACCCAAGGGGAACCCGGCACCTTGTTTGCTAAATAAAGGCATGGTTAATTCCAGGCCCCTCCATCAACGAAAAAACACTCCTCAGGTTCCAAAAAATCCCCCAAAGCAGAGTCAGGCACGAGCGTCTTCCCACCTTTTAGGGATGTCTACACTTTGTAAGCCTCTGCACGTAAATGAGAAAGATTGTGGTGACGTGGGGGTCCCTCTGAAGTCAACAAGGGCTGCTTGAGAGGGCGGTTGAGAAAAAGGGTGGTTGGGAGGAGCCCACCAAGAGAACCTCACGCAGCCCCAGCCCCCGTGGTGGGCACCTCTGCCGAGAGCTCCAGTGTGGGTGGTGTGAACGTTCCTCCTCCTGCCCATCAACGAGCTGCCAGGGAGGGCATTGTTTAGCCCAAACCATCAGATTTTCGTGCAGCAGCTTCTCAGCATTCCCTTTGATGCGTGAACTTTTGAAGACCCTTGAAGGAAAATTGCTTTCTTGTGGTTTTGTGATGTTGTTTTTTTTTTATATTATGCTGTTTCTGTTTATTGTAACAGCGGTACAAAAGGTCGAAATACACCAAAGCAGACTCGCCAATCCCACGAGTGTCGGTGGAGCTCGTGTTTTACAGAAATCCTGAGAACTCCCAGCTTCCTGAGAAGTCGATTCAATCCTCCAGGAGTCCATGGTAAAGATGATAAAATTGAACCGAAAAATCCTCTCTCTTCTGTAATTCAGCGTTTTATCAAAATGGATGTAATCACAGCTTGACCTGTGAAATCACAGGGATTTTCATTCTTGAAAGAGCAAGAGATGGAAAATTAAAAAGTGGTCCTTTATATTCTTCAGAAATTTTAACGAATTCAAGTGCTTTACCTCAGACTTATCTAATAGTTCGGGTGGGAGTGAAAAAATGACTAATAGGTCAAGCTCACTTTCCTCTTTCTCCATTTCTAAAATAAATTGACTGCTTAATCTTTCTTTGACCTGCAATACACGGGCATTACACTATGGACTTTTCAGGAAGCTGAGCAGATTTCACAGCTATTGAGTAAACCTAATTCCTGGGAAGACTTTCTGAGTTCATTTTTTTCCTGTGGAGAAAAGATAGAAGGCTCAAATAAGGGACCAAGAGCAACATCTTGACCTGGAGGCAGCTGAAGCTCCTGCCTTTGTGCTGCACAACAATATGTCCCTGCACAAACAGTAAAGTCCCTCAATTTTACCAAAAACTGCTTCTGCCTCAGACATAAAGGCATGAAGATTTTTGCTCATGAATCAAGAGATTACAAGACCCAAGGTAACCCAAATAGGGGTCAATTTTTCCTAGGGAAGTGACAAAGAAAGGCAGTTTTCGAGTTCTTATCCAGCTTAGGAACTGGAGCAAAGGTACTTCTTGTGCCAGAATCTCAACAGCAATGGAAAACTATTCGGGAAGCAATTGCCATGAAACATACCTCAGAGAATTGCTTTTTCAGAGGGTTTAATATGATACATCCTGTGTGATGGTCCTTGTGAGGTGTTCATTTGAATTTTATGATGACGTTTTGGTTTCCAGTAAAAAGCCCAACGATACGACAGGTTGGCTGCTACATGGTTACCAAGTGATTCTTACGCCATCAACAAACAGCTAATGGGCTATGGGAAAACAGCAAATTATACGTGATGGTGTAAGGTTTTGTGCAGAATGCAAATCTGAATTGTTTGAGTATACACAGTTTCGGAACACTTGACATGAAATGAATGCATCTGGCGTTGTTCTTCCATGGCCTTATGCTATAGAATTATATGCCATATGCTGAAACCTAGAGCCTAATTCTCATAGGTATTGTGTGTATATACATTATATAAAGTATAAATATTATATATTTATATAACTTAATTTAGGGGTGAGATACAGTCTACCTAATCCCAGTGATCCTGTCTGTAAATATACCAGGCCTCAGCTCTGATTTCTATCACGACAAGAACACTGGAAATGTTCTTATCTAAAGATACAACTTTATAAACGTTGGAAAGCGAGCCCATGACTGATGCCCTCTTAAATTTTTCATAGGTATGTGTCTCCGGGGGAAACAGAATGATTTTGATCACGGATGAGGAGTCTTTGTAGCACAGTGATTGATTTTGACACCGTACGATTACTTATTGGCAAAGCATCCAAGTGGCATTGGAAAAATTAGCAGAGCTTACAACAGCGTCCTGATTTTCTAATTAAGTATGGCCAGTGAATTACTCTTTCACCTGTATCTTAAATTTTACATCACATGTTTATCATCTTTTTTTTTTCTTTTTGCTTTAATGAAGGTTTACATTTTCCGAGCATATGCTTGTACATATTAATGCATGTGAAGCATATGTGATAATTATGCATATCTCTACCTCCTCCCCCTCCCCTCCATCCATAAAGAGTGAGGGATTATTCTTCTTCTTGTGAAACCAGAGGTTATAACTTCCATTGGGCTGTGCTCCCTGACAGGCAAGAAGGGGAGCCGTGAGACCTGCACGCCACGGGAATGCCCTCTCCTGGGCAGGTACAGGCAGGAGCAAGGCTGATCTTGCACTTAATCATCTGGCAAGAACTAGAAATGCAATGTTGGTCTTTGGTTCCCATTTTGAAAAGAAAAGTTAATGGTTTTCCCCACTTTTCTGATCCCACTTTACACTCCCATCGCCGTTCTCTGCCCCACCAAGCCACTAGGGTCGTGAGCATCTTACCCGGAGTGAACTTCTTTAACCCCAATTTGAGGTCTATTTTTGTCCACACAAACAGGTAGGTTGTGGAACCAACTGACAGGCACTGAATGTAGAGGTATAATGTAAATACTGCAGCCAAGGCTCTCCTACCAACCCGGGAGCTCCAGAGGCAATTGATTTCTAGTTCTGTATTCATTCAAAGCACAAGTGAGAAGGTCTGGACTTGCCGCTACTTGAAGATGGCCTTACCATAACTCTCCAAAGGTTTTCACAAGAAACATGGAAAGTGCCATGTTTGCTCATTTTGGTTCAAAAAACCCCAACAATGAATGGCATTTGCCTCACGGAGACAGTGTCCAACTCTTAAACCCCAACAATGAATGGCATTTGCCTCACAGAGACAGCGTCCATCTCTTAACCACGAACCCATTTTTTTCCGCATTTGCCATCACCAACAGAATGGCACCAGGGGCAGCCACTAAATGTGGCACAGATTGTTTCCAGAAGCCGATGCAGATTGTGGCCATCACTGGGTCTGAGCTCCACCAGAAAAACTCCAGCGTGAACGCTCATGGTGATGCAGAGGACTCAGAGCAGCCAAGGAGCAGATGCTCCAGATTAACCAGGTTCATCACTCTTGGAGGAAAACTGCTGACATGGCTTTGTTCTGATGCAAGCAGAGACCCTGTTTGTCTCCTGAATGCTTATTAAATTACAAATATATTTATGAATCAGTTGATTTGATTGAAACCGAAGCTTCTGAGTCTGGATCTCTCTCTCTAAGGCTTCTTGCTTCAGTTGTGGAAGGTTATTTAAAAGCTTCCTCACAGTGAGCTGTGAGGATAAAGGGACGGCTTAAACCTACTTCATCAACAGGTGAAAGCAAAAAGCTGATTTTTCATCTAACCCTACCACACCTTCTGTCAACTTTTCTGTAGGAAGGACAATCTTTTCTCAGAGACCTCCTCAAAGATGGGCCTCAGTCTTATTAGATTTTGCAGATGGATCATCAAAGCCAGGCATTTGGCCAGTTTTCAACACCCAAACGTTGAAGCCTTTTTGGTCCTGCCACCAGAACATGTCCTCATTGCTCTGAGACGCCGGCTGGCTCCTGTCGAGGACGGCGACCATGGAGGAGGATGGTCACAGAATCACAGAATCTCAGAATGCTCTGGGGTTGGAAGGAACCTCTGGAGATCATCCAGTCCAACCACCGTCCAGAGCAGGGTCACCCAGAGCAGGTTGCACAGGAACATCTCCAGGCGGGTTTGGAATGTCTCCAGAGATGGAGACTCTAGATGGTCACACTGGAGTGGGCGCCTGGGAGGAGGAGCAACCCCAGGCCCACACCATGGGGGCACTTGGTTATCTATCATAGTGATGGACACACAGACAGCTGTTCCACCCACTCTTTTTTCTCCTCTTTTTTTTTTTTTTTTTTTTTTTTTTTTTTAATCCCTGTGGCACGTGCAAC